CTTTGCCGAGCTTCTCTTCCAACCCGCTGCGGAGGACTCGTACTTGACGTTTGACCTCCCTGCAGGCGTTCTCTGCCAGACCATTCGCTTGATGGTCTCCTACTGGCGACTCTTCCGAAACCCAGTCTATGCCGGTTTCTTTCGCTGCTGCCTCTTTCAAGGCTACCACGGATGGCTCACCATCCGATTTGAGAACCACCTTGCGGTGTCCCAAGTTCTTCAAGAAGTTCGCCACGAACTTCACTGCATACGGCGTTGCTCCCTTCGAGTCCACGAAGGTCGCCGCTAAGGACTGTGTCCTCTCATCTTTCACCACGAGGATCGGCTTTACTCGCTCGTCCTCCACACCGCCCCGTGACATGAACGTATAGTCCATTGCCACTGTGGGCACAAGGCTCTTTGCCTTCTGTTCCTCGGACCTCGTCCGATGCGGCTGTCCTACAGCCCGTCCAGCAATGCAATGCCGGCACCAATTCCGATACTGCACATGGCCTGTCGCCTCGTGCTCTTCGATCTCGCCCGGAGTTGGATCCTCCGGTGCTCTTATCTGGATGGGTTTCTCAACCTCATCAACTAATTCCAACTCATCATCTTCTTCCTGCCTCTCTGGACCAGGTCGGCCTGAATCCATAGAAGCATCTCCCCTTTCTCCTGCAGCATTCAACTCTGCAATGCCACAGCATTCCTTGGTCGGTTTATACCCTGGCTTTCTCAAGTAGAAATTGTACACTCCCTGCTCTTGATACACAGGGATCCAATTCCGCTGATCTGCAGCGCTCGCTTTCTCCAGGATCGCCTGAACAGCCTTTCCAACTTTGGACCCTTGCGGAATCAAGTTTCCGCCATTCACATCAAGAACTGCAATCCTTCCAAAGCCTAAGCACTTGGACGCTGAAATCAATGGCTTGTGAACATCGGCCATTGAACCTTTCACACGGCATTTGTTGCCGCTCTCGTCGAACCCCTCAAAGGTTCCAATGCCCTGACTGGGCACCAACTCTCCTGATGCAGTCTTGAAAACAACCCCGTTGCCTTCACTGACAACCACTCAGTCCTCCCAGCCATTTGGGATGGCTGTCTGGGCTGCTCCAGTGTCCAGGTTAAACTTCATCCATTCTTCGGCGGATGAAGCATCCGCTATTCCAATTCCACTCAAGTCTGCCATGAGCATTCCGACATCTGCTTCCGGAGCTGGCTCAATGCCATCATCCGGATCGTCCATCTCTTCCATACTTCCTGCGGCTTTACCTTTGCCGCCTTTTCCACCTTTGCCTTTACTGCCTTTGCCACCTTTGCCACTCCTGTCTCCTTTGCCTGAACCTGACCATTTATCGCCTTTTCCATCCGGCTGTTTCTTGCTCCAGCAATCGGCCGCTCGGTGTCCCTTCTTACCACAATTGTAGCAGGTGATATCTTGAGCCGGGTTTGAGCCTTTACTTGAGCCTCCTTTGCTTGAGCCTTTCTTTCCATCGCCTTTGGCCTGTTTACCTTTTCCTTTACCTTTTCCTTTGACTAGGCTTGCAATCCATTGTCCGATCGAATCGACGTCCATGGGTTGAGGTCCTTGGTAACTGGAACTCGATGAACCTGGTTTTGGAACAGATGACTTCGACGTGAGAGATGATTCGATAACAAGTTCAATTTCTTGTTTGATGAGTGCGTAGGTTGTTAGTCTACTTTTGTTCAACAGGAGGTGTTTTTCCAAGTCTGGTGGAACAAGCATCTCTAACGAGGCGGACTTTATGTCGTCCGATAGAGTCTCCCTTGTCCCTGCGGCACTCCTTCGGGATTCGTACCGCCTGATGAGTTCTTCGAGCTGTTCAATCGCTGGCCTCACCGCGGCCCACGTTTTGACTCGTTCAGGTTGGAGAATTGCTCGAAGTATATTGCGTTTCCGTCCCGAGGTTCGGGGATCCCAACGACGGTGAACCCGTCGATATGCTTCAAATCCATTTGAAGCTCCTACCATCAAATCCTCTGTTTCACCTGAGGTCAGGGTCAGGAGGACGCGATGAATTTGATCCGCTTTATCCTCTAGATCATCGATGGCTGCTATGGTACCAGTCCCAAACGCGGACTCCATGGCACTCATTTCAATCGCGTCTTCCTGCTCCAAGATGTACTCAAGAACTGAAATGAATTCTCTCCCAAAAGTGGTTATGAACAGGTTGTCAATGCTCCTGGCCCACTTTCGGAAATCCCCTTCAACATTCCCAAAACTCTCAGGGCGTCCCAAACCTTTGGTGTCCATAAGTATTTGGGACTTTCGTCTATCTTCCTTTTTCTCAAGGCTCTTAGCCAGTTCTCCCACTGCTGAAGCCAACATCGACACCCCACCTTGGGATTCTCTCAATACCTGGTTCTCTTGTTCCAAACGTGCCTGGTTTTGCTGGAGTTGCAAAACCATATCAGACAACTGTTGGATCTGCTGTTCCAATGCCATGGTTTCCCAATCTCAACCCCTGAAGGCGCTGCTCTCGCATTCAGCGGCGGACGGTTCGTCCGGTCTCCGGCCCCTTACCAGGCCGGTCCAAGGGCTTTCACCCTTGGGACAGGTCAGACGGAGATTCTGGGCTCTCACGGGCCTCTGAAGCGGCCCGGGCTCCTGCGGAGGTCAACTCCACCGGATTGCGGCCGATCTGAAGTCGGCGAGCCGGTGGTGGCCCGTCCGGAGATCTAGGCCGCCGGACCGGTGGCGGTCCGTCCGGAGATCGAGGCCGCCTCACCGGACTGCAGCTCCTCTCCTTCAGTCTCACGGAAGTCTCTTCTTCCGATGGGCTCTCCTCCTCTTCTTCTTCCTTTTCTTTGGCTGTATCAGCCGTTTCACTCCTCTTCTGAGCCTTTCGCTTTGCGCTCTCCTTGCGCTTCTCTTGATTGCGGATCTTTTGTTCTTTCCGCTCTAACTCGATTTCCTCCTTTGGGCGCTCTTTGCCAAACTCTTTGATCCTCCTTTGCAGGTCTTCTGTAATAACACCCTGCTTCTTCTGCAACCTCACCAAGTCCTTGAGCTTCCGATACTGAAGCGAAACTTTGCTTCGAAGTCGGAATCCGGACTGTGGTTCTGGGTGCTTCTTGACTTGGCCCCAAATCTGTTTCTTCACCTGCTTCCTCCAAGGTGCTTTGGGATCGACTTTGGCTGGGGTATAGTTGGCGTGAATGCCACGAACTTCCCAACCTGTCTTGATACCCTCTGGGGATGTGATGAAGTCGGCGATAACTCGGCCAGATGACGGCTGTGCGGCTGGATCAGCCGCTTCAGCCCCTGGCTCAACTGTTGGATCTTGTTCAGGCTCTTCTTCTTCTCCTGGTCCTTCTGTGCCTTTTGTGTTTTCCTTTTCTTCTTTTGTTTCTGCGGTCTTGTCAACCGCTGAAGTTGTTTCGGCGGTCTTCTCAACCGCTGGAGTGGTGTTTGCGGCTGGATCCGCCGCTGATGTGGCTGGCAAAGGCTCTTTCTCCTCCTCCTCTTTTTCTTTCCTTTCTTCTCCCGTTCCACTCGGGGCGGCAGAAGCTGCCGCTCCCGAGATCCCAGCTCCTCCTCCTCGGAGCTCTCGACTTTACTGTGTCTTTCTTCCTTTATGCGCAGCGCTTTGTCCCTGTCACTTTCACCGGACTCGTGCGCTACCATGAAAACGAGGTTTCGACGTTTCGGAACGCCTTTTCACCTTGAGCCAAAATACGTCATGAGTCACGTGTCTGCAGTACTCAAGCGGAGTATTTATGGGCTGTACATGCAAACATAAAGAAGTATATATATATATGGGTTCATCGATACCAAGTTCCCTGCAAACTTCCAATTCTGACGATCGGACGCTTGCATCGCTCGATCATACAATTGGGTGTGGAGCCCTTTACTTTGATAGACCGTAGCCCTCTTTTGGGGGTAGCAGGTCGACACGTCCACCCTATAGAGTATCCTCGGTTTTGACATCCACGTGGTCCATTCATGGTGGTTCAACCTTGCAGATTTTCCCGCTTCACACAGTGAATGGCAACTCTCAGCAAGCAACTCCTTGTCCTTCCCAAGGCAGCTGCAGGTGTCTCCCATGGAATCAAAGGCAGGGGTACGGGTTAAGGTACGGTACTGGAAAGTACAGTGGTACGCAAACAGTTCTAAGTTGGGGCGTGGGATAGCCATTGCAGGACACGGATAGTCTTTAGGCATGGAGCGAGGTATTCAAATGAAATGCAGGTGGCAAAAGAACACTTTCGTGTAATCCAAGACTTGATGGCCTTGATGCTGTATGGCCTTGATGCTGTTGCAAAGGAGCGCAAGCATGTTCTGGTTTGATTGGATAGTATAATGGCAACCTAGCTGGGTGCTGCATGAATGACATTTGGTTTGAACCGCAACTTAGATTTAGATCGTATTCACATGTCCCCACGTGTCAATCAACAGTGAACAAGCACTTCCCCTTCCAAATCAAGAACACGCGCGTCAACCTACAGTATATAAACCTCATTCAACTTGAGGGCCATGCCAACAAAAAACAATAGACATGTGGCAAGTTTGATTCCTGTTGGTGAAGCGTACCTCGTCAAGTATTCAAGGACCAATAGACTTACAGATTATGATTCCTATGCCCTTGTGCTCTTGTCCTGCACCCTGAAAAAAAAGGTGGTCCTCTCATACTTCAACTCCCTGGTCAGATTCCTTATCAATTTGAAACACCTTACACTTCCTTTGGCCTGATAGCTGCCCTGGTTTGCAAACCCCACATTGTATCCTGTGGTAGTCTATAATTAGACCTGTTCTGATAGACATGTACTTTGCACCAATACCCCGTACCCTGTACCTGTACCCATTGTCATCCAAAAACAACGCAATGGTCAGAAAAAAAACATGGCAAGAACATCGCTATTTGGAGGCCACCGCTTCTAGGTTGGAGGCCACCGCTTCTAGGTTGGAGGTCATCGCTATTCGGCTGGAAGCAGCACCTCTTTTTTCCATATTTTTCCATGAGAATCCAACCCTTCTGGCTGTCTCTACCAGCTCGCTGCGCTCATCCGCTCGCGAGCTCCTGTGGCGCGTCTCACTCGCGCGCAGGTAGGTTGGAGGCCATCGCTACTAGGTTCTTTTTGCTATGAGGTTGGAGGCCATCACTCTTAATCATGTTGAAGGCACGTTTCGGAGGATCCCAAATACCCTTCAGGTCTGTTCCAAAAATTGATGTCCTTGCCTCCGTGAATCTACACAGCTAGGGAAGCCATTCCACCTCCTCCCTGACCGATACCTTCATTCTGTTCATGACCAATATTCATCATGATTCCTGTGATTCTTTTTCTTTCCCTTTGCGACAAAATGTCCATCCCGGACAACACATCCCTGCGTTCATTCTCTCTCTGTTTCGATCCAAATTCTCCTGGCAAACATCCATGCCACTGCTGCAGCACTCGCCTCCCAGTGACGAACAAAGCTGAGACCTATCACCAAACCAACAAAAAGGAATTTGGTGCCTCAAAACTCAGGCTCTTCTCGGCTTGGTGCCTTTTCGGTTTTGCATGGATGGCTGATTTGCGTGACTCCATCAAATATACTTCTCCAACCTTTCCATGGGGCACTGTCGACCTGGACAAAGTAAATCGGAGCAAAGCGCCAAACGTCGTAGGAGCTACAAGACAGCTATTGAAAGGTCTTTGGTCGATCTTGGGCATCAGTACCTCTTGCTATTGAAGAACGCATCTTGCAACGTCTTTCTGTGACTTCTTTTTGCGACCTGTCTTTCCAGCGTTTTTCGTTCCTTTTTTCTTGTCTATCCCTTCCTCTAGCTTCAAATAGCCCTCTTAATATCCAAAAGGCCCGGCGGCCGGGCCAAAGAAAAACGCCGGTCTCGTACCTCCGAACGAATCCACCCTATTCCACCCTCTCCGAAGAACGTGCCTAGCCAGCTCACAGAGTTCTCCACAGGGCTCCAGCGGGTCTCAACACCGGTGCCTCAGCGGACGACCAACACCGCGTGCACGTGCCGCACGCGCCGCATGCGCCGTGGTCGTGACCACGTCATGTGGAACTCATGGAAGTGGACGAACAAAGCATCCAAAGCATCCATGGTTGCCAGTCGGAAGATATAGCCTCTAAGTAGGATCCTCTCTATCCCATCCAGCGTGCTGGAAACGACTTCCTTTCCCTCCCTCTCTCGTTTGGTCACCTTCTGCATCTGATGCTTTTTCGTGGGCCATCTTTTCATGGTGAAATCTACCATCCACGAATCCAGCATTGCCCATACGGATTCACATCAAAGTGTAAATCAAATAAAGCTCAGCTCCATCCCTTGAATTGCACGAATCCCAAACTCCTATGTCTAGTTACCAAGACTTCAGGTCACATGGTTGGTCAAAAGGCTTTAGCGAGTTCTATCTCCATCCACCATCCATCTTGACTCGACCATCCCTCGAATGCTCATGACAGTGTTTATCTCCACAAAAGTACTGTTGGTAGACAAAAGACATCATTACAAAGTAGGTTGATCAGCCAAAAAGGACTATGACTATATATGACTATAGAAGTACAGTGGCACTTTTCCCGCCACGTGACCCGTCCGCTCTTCGACAAACGATCGAGCGGTCGCCCAGTGGCAGCTCCCCTGATCAATGGCTTCCTTGATGGCCTAGCAGTCAAAAACCACCGTGAATAAGGCATCGCTACTAGGACGCTACGAACGGAACAAAGGGCATCGCTACGTTCGTAACAAGGTTCGCTACATTCCTCGGTTCTAGCGAGGTAGACCGATCCACAACGACCCAATGGCGCTCCTTAACAGCATGGAATGGCGTCAAGATGACTTGTTCGACTTTTACTCTAGGGCCTAGGCCTTACTACAAGGAGCAAGGACGCTACTAGGGGCTCCTGGCATCGCTACTAGTAACAAGAAGCTACTAGGTAGGAGCAACGGGCATCGCTACTAGGAGCAAGGCCGCTACCGAACAGTGCAATGCACTGCTCCTGCTACACATGCTGGGGGGGCCCACATGCTCATTCCCACAAAAGATGACCACGTGGCTGTACCCCATCCCGGAATTCATCACGGCCTCCAACCTAGTAGGGATGGCCTCCAACCAAATAGCGATGGCCTCCAACCTAAGAGCGATGGCCTCCAATGGTTCGACCAAATCACTGCGCACTTCTGCTGTGGCTGGGCAGTAGGGCACTGGTCACCGGTCAAGAAAAACGACTCTTGGGGCTCTCCCGTCCGAGGACCAATTGCTCCGCACTGCGGCCGCACCGGACACGAGGAACGAAAACCACGACACAAAACCAAAAGCATGTGTTTCCTTCAAAAATTGAAAGATTCTTTGATAAGACCATAAATCTAATAGGAATGGCCTCCAACCTACTAGCGACCGCCTCCAACCAAATGGTGTCTTCGGCACCTTGTGGGTGTCCGCTTGCCACCACTGGATCTCGGAGGTGCAATTCGTGCTATGGAATTGACCACCTGCGCGTTCCCGGTCACGGCGACGAGCGTTTGGACGAGATCCGGCTCTATCAAAGGAGTGCTGGAGTGACTCCAGTGGCATGTTCATTCTTGGTCTTCTAGGAGGCTCTTGCAAAGTGTTGTGAGGCAGTTTGCTGTACTGACCAATCCAACAGGTGACCACATGATGTTAAAGTAAATCCCTCGATATAGATAACTTGGAAGTCAGCTTTTTTCGATGTCGATTCCGATTGGGCTTCTGAGACACGTCTCTCGGATAGGGCTCCATTCTACTTGGGCGTAAAATGCTGCCAGGGACTTGTAGTTCCAGGGATGCAGGTGAATGCAGGCGGATGCAGGCGGATGCCAGCTTTCAATCAGTCCCCGGGCGGATGCTGCTCATTCCCGCCTGCAGTCGCGCAAGAAGCCTCTGTCTCACATTGGCACCAGCTGTGTTCGTACTTGCAGCCCTGAGCTCCATGGACACACCCAAGACCTCTCCTCCGATGGACACTTCAGGACTGAAGGATGAAGGTCCTGTTTTCCAAACAACTATGTCCGCAGGGAGGTGTGGTTTTCATGGCGCGGGGCATTCTTAGAACTTGGATTCAAAACAATTTGCGAATTGGCGAGGTTCTTATTAGGTTGCAGGCCATGGAAAAGGTTGGAGGCTTTGTTGCTCACATTTCTCTCGGCCAAAGTCGTGTTCTTCTCAAACTCGAGCTCGTATCTCGTGGAACACTATGCACTAAGTAATTCCACATGTCTTCCAGTTTTCGCAAGATTCCCCAAGTCAAGTTTTGAAAAAAAAAAACAAACACTGGAAGGTCCGCTCCTCGTCCTTCGTTTGGAGACCCCAAACCCAGTAAACCGGACCACCAACGGAGCACATGCACGTCTTTCCGTCCAAGGGGCGGAGGCGATGCACGCCGATTCCTCGGGGCTCGGGTACACGTTGCACCAGCTGTAGCGGACTTTGGTCGCCAAAAAGTCCTGGACACGGCCAGAGGACACGGCCCGAGTGTCTGCGCAGGACAAGTTGCCTCTACAAGGACAGGAAGATAAGGATGAAAGACAGAAAACAAAGAAACAACGTAAAGAGAAGAAGACGATCCACCACAAAGTTGGGAGGTATGATTGTCTCCGTAGGTACCACGCCCATTGAAACGATCTTAATTAACCCCAGGCACAAGACAATGGGCGGGTCAAACACTTGCAAGCCAACAACAAGAAACAGAAGCAAAAACATCAATGGCGTGGCAGTGCCGTCACATTATGCTTTTCCCCTCAAAGACCCCACCCACATCGTAGTAGCGTCCTTGCTCCTGGGAGCTTCTGACACGAACCGAAACGACGCGGGTTCCTTTGGGTACCAGGAGCTTCTTGCTCCAAGTCGCAATGGCCTCCAACCGAAGAGCAATGGCCTCCACCAAGGAGCTTCTAGCTACTGGTAGCTTCTTGCACCGGTTTCTTTTGGAACCGAAACCTTTGCGGCGCCGCGGCTCACGCGCTGGCTCGAGAGCGGCTCTCCAGCAAAGAGCTCTCGCGACGATGCGATCCTCGTGGCGCTTGCAGGGCGTCATGGGCTCCACGTCGTGATCGCATAAGGTCGAGGGGAAGTTGCCTCGGTTGAGGGACGCGGTGGGAAGTGCCTCCAACCTGTTCAGGTGGAGCGGGGAGAGATGTTTTGTTCGCTCCTTTCCACTGAAAGCAACGTCAACGAGAAACAGAGACTCCGCAAATTTCCCCATGTCCAATGATCCAAATGATCAAGTAGCTACTAGGAACAAGGTTCGCTAAGAACAATAGTAGCCTAGCTCTATTGTGATCTCATTTCTCCATCACCATCTCCATCAGGTCGGGTTGCTGCAGCAGGTGCTCGCCAACCAGACCTGGTCCTGGTTCCGGCGTGACAGTTGGCTCCAACGCAAAGTTCGAAGTTCTATGCCTCTATTCAGGTTGGTATCCTACATTCCGCTACATGCTCCCAGACAGCTACCACTCTTTCTGCTTCGTTCGGATCCTCCGAGGCCCCAGGCGTAACGCGCAGCGCGACGCCGAGCGCGGTTCCTCCGCCCGAACCCAGCCATCGATGACTTGGTCCACGCAGGTGCCGTTGCCCTCGGCCCACTGCAGCACCTTGTGCTGTTCCGGCCTGGTCAGGGTGCGAAGGCAGGGCAGCAGGGCCCCGGGAACATGACGTGAGGCTTCCATGTTCTGTGAGGTTGTAGCGTCTCCCTTCCAAAGTTGATGGCGCACCCCACGCAACTCACTCCTGGTGCCACGCAACGGTCGAGGGTCCAGTCCATCCGTTCCAAAACACAAGACCATGGCCGGTGTGGTGGTCCCATTCCGCCGATGGCGAAGCACAAGGTCTTTCTTGTAAGTCGAACTTTGGGATTTCTATTTTGGGAAAGCCCAGGTGTCTCTCGGAAAAGCTGCAGTGGGGAAGCCCAGTGAGTCCACACCCCACACAACATGCAGCCAACTGCGGTCAAGTAGCGCCACATCCGATCACTCCGGTGAAAAACATCCAGCGGTGGTCCGTGGCAGAAAGTCACTGGATTGCTCTGTTCGAAGCAATTCCTCCTATCCTAGTAGTAATGCCCTTGTTCCTAGTAGCAAGAATGCTCCTAATAGCGATGCTAGGAGCCCCGTTCGTAGCGTCCTTGCTTCGTTCGTAGCATTCCTTTTCAGACATCCTTTCGGACCCATCCGCACCACGTCCAAAACGAAGAGAAGAGAAGATGAGAGAACGCCGATAGGCCAGTCTCACGTGGCCGATACCTCGATGACACCAAGCGGTGGCTCGACGGAACAGAACTGCGCCTCCAGTAGTCATCAATTTCCTTCCTTGGATTTGCACGTGGAAAACACCGTGAAGAAAACGCTCTCACTTTGGGAAAACCTTCTGCTAAAAGGAAGACATCGATTTCGGGGTCTTCTGGTTGGTCTTCCTTGAGCGAGTCTGCTCCAGCTCGACTGGGAAAGAGGAGTCGGCTTCGAGGACTGCTCGACTGATCTCCCCGAGTCAAACGTCATCTTTCAAAGCCACAAAAAGCCAACCTGTTCCGGTACGCCCTAAACCATCTAAACCTGAAACCTTTTGGAACTAGCACACTCTCAAGATGGGACCCCAACAACCCATGCTTTGCCAGGCTTCCGACAGGTTTGTTCCATCCAGGTGCCTCCCACTGCTGCGCAGCCCGTCTCCGACCAGCAGTGGCACCTGCACACCGCCGTCCGGCCCAGCCGGCCGCGGACACCGACCCCGAACAGGGCTCCGATGAAGGGAGGGTCTCCGGATGCACTGGAAGAGACGGGGTTTGGTCCGCCAGGGAAAGACGGAAAGCATCGAAAGCATCTTGTTACTACTAGTAAGGCACCTGTTACTAGTAGCGTGGCACTTGTTACTACTAGCGTGGCACTTGTTTCTAATAGCTTGAAAGAAACCATGTGTATCAACCAGCGAAGGTATCTGGGGTGTCCTCCAGGTCAACCAGTTGTATTTGCTGTGTCTTTCGTCAGAGTCGAAGCACCGAGCTGACTGAGAAGAAAAAGGAGCTCCATGATACCAGGAGCACTGAGTCGAAGACTGTGATAAGAAAGAGCTTGAGGTTCTCCACTTCAAAGGTTTGCTTATACCTTTTGTGGATCTCTTGATACTCAGTGAGACTCCCCCACCAACCTCCTGTCACACACGAGGCAATCCATGAGCCACGACACCAGTGCTCATCACCCTGGCAATCTGTTTGAGCATTGCAAACCGTGGCCTCGGCAAACCAGTTGAGCGCGGTTTTGCCGGGGTGTGAGGGCGGTGTTTTCCGATACACATACCTTAACCTGCTGCTCATTAGAGGTGAGAACTTGGGGTTTTTGAGAACAACTCTTTCTCTTCTGGGACGAATTCGTCCACCACACTTCTACGAACTTGGAGAACAAGGTCGTTCTCTTCTGGGACGAGTTCCTCCAGCTGAGCATTGCTTAACTCAACGCCTCCTCCGATGGCATATGACACAGTAAAACGAGTCCCATGGCACGCAGAGTGGTGCTGCACGAGAGGAGCTTGAGGCTGAAGGAATCCAGGGCACACCAACCGTGGAAAATGACCGTTGCTTCCTTATCGCAAGTGGATTGTGTCCATAAAGCATCCTAACGCTGACCCTGAACTTGCTTTCTTTTATCCCAGGAACGCAATCATTGGATCTCTCCAACGTGATCACCTCCATCAACTGAAAAGTACATTCGTAGATACTCATCCAACGTGCAGATTGCGCGATCTGCATGGGTGCCTATTGACCCCAACCCACCATCTTCAATGGGGATGGCCATTTCCCGCACCGGATCAGCTTGGCGTCATTGGGCGTGAACTGGTAGTCAACGTGGCAGTAGGCCCAGATCACCTTGACACCCGTGACGCGAAGTGGTGGTAAACGGTGACGACGGGAAGACGACGCGACGCTGACGACGGGAAGACGAAGAAACGTGTCGTCTCTGCGAAATCAGAGAAGTTCTGTGATGGGTCGGTGGATGAGTCATTTGCCTCGGTTGTAGATCACCTCTCAGCTCATCAGTTTCGGTGAAAGGGGTGGAGGTGAGCTGAACATCCAAGTGTTCCATGCGCTACTAGGGGCTCCTGGCATCGCTACTAGGAGCATTCTTACTACTAGTAACAAGGTTCGCTACGAATGGGGCTCCTGGCCTTACTACTAGGAGCAAGGACGGTAGCTCACAAACTGCCGCAGCACAGCCCTCTGCGCGTCCAGTGCCGTCCCCAACACATCACCTGGTCTCTGGCCTGGTCTGGCAAGAAATCGCTGGTGTGCTGGCAGGGAGTCATTTTCCTGAGGTCGAAGTGATAGGTCGAGGGGTGACGGGTGGCGTGGATAGCAGGGGGAAGGATGGAACGATGACCCACACGACAAGGGAATGCCCATGGATTCTCACCCAGAGATGCTAGTCATCATAGTGAGGGTGATCGTTTTGTTTTTTCCGGATAGTGCATTTGGTCAACCAGTGTGTCTTTTTCACGCTTCCAGGTAATTCTGAGACTTCGGGGACCATAAGGCACTGTGTCCTCTTGCGCGTAGATCGAACATCTGCGACCAGAATCAGAACATGATCAAAGCTGATGGAAGCTGCAGAAAATACTCTTGGGCCAAGCTGTTGGCCAAACAGTCCAAGGTGGTCGTCCTAGAAAGAAGGAGCTACTAGTAGCTTCCTTGCTCCTAGTAGCGATGCCAGGAGCTCCTAGTAGCGTCCTTGTTCCTAGTAGTAAGGCCAGGAGCTCCTAGTAGCTTCTTGTTCCAAGCATCTTTGCCGTCTTATCGCAAACTGTGGCAGGAAAGCTAGCGCAGCACTTCTGCGCCGTGTAGGCGATCGCATCCTGCACGGCCTGGAGTTGGATGAGCTCACACGATAGATAGAGCTTCAATGAATTCAGCTTTGAAGACTTGTTCCGGTTCAAATGAGAGCTTACAGCATCTCATTTCAGGGTTGGGAGGTATTGTTTGGCGTTGCCTGTTTCAAGAAATCGTGAGGAGGCTGGCAGATGTTGGAAACATTCCATCCTCCACTTCTCAGGGAAATTTATTGTTGTTCTTGTTCCGTGTCTCTAACCTACGAAGTTCTTTTTCATTTGGCCGAGTACCATTTCTGATTCTGGTGAAATGGGGCAGCTGCTGACCAAGATTCGGAATGGATCCAACGCCTTAAATGATCCAAAATGCTCCAGCTATAAATACCTGGGATCGAATTCTTCCGCAGATCTGCCCAAATATCCCAGACCCAAAAACACTCTGCTGCGTCTCGCGCGGCGGCGCCCCCTACGCCTGACCGAGCATCGTGAGATCGGGGCATTGGGCCTTCCCCTCGTCGGCATCCTGAAGTGCCTCGACTCCACGGAACAAAAAGCTACGAACGGAGCAAGTGCATCGCTACTAGTGACAAGTGTGCCTTACTAGTAGTAACAAAAAGCTACGAACGGAGCAAAGGGCATCCCTACTAGAAGCAAGGACGCTACGAACGGGGCTCCTGGCTAGGAACAAGAAGCTACTACTAGGAACAAGAAGCTAATAGAAACAAGTGCCACGCTACTAGTGACAAGTGCCTTACTAGTAGTAACAAGAAGCTACTAGAAACAAGAAGCTACTATTGTCTGTTGCTTTTTTCTTTTAAGCCTCGACACCTCGGGACCGCGTGGGGCGTTGGAGTCACGCTGGGGGCGCCGTCCATGCGCCCCGTCGATCGAGCGATTGTTTCGGTCCACATCCGACGTGAAACGGACGGATTCTGGATGAATACGATCGAGCAGAAAGAGAACTTGGTGCAGCAAACAGGTCTATTCCTTTTTTCATGTGGCTTCAGACGTGTGATTCACAGCTCCAATCCCCCAAACTACCAAGACTTGACAAAAACGCATGCGTTTGATTGATTCTTCTAGTTGACTAATCTCATGTTTGTCAGTCACAGTTCTCTGCAGTGTTATGAAATACACTTGGGTGAAAGAACTAATTGCCGCCTGCGTGGAAGACGGGGCTCCGTTCAGTTACAACTCGTTTCAAGCTTCTCTCAGTTGTATAGTTCCAACAAGCATCAAGGCAATCAGTTTGGTTCCTACAAAACCATCGTCAAGCTCAAAACAGTGGGGCACCACCCAACGCGATTGAATGGGTTCATTTGGTGATTCACTATGTGTGTGAAGCAAATCAGTACAGTATAGAAATCTCCACCTTCGTCTGTGCGATTTCATCTGCATCTGTGCCCACAACCGCCGGTCGCGCCGTGCTTCCGGCGCTACCCGCGCGACCTGGGATCCCTCCACTGAGACCGCGCACCGAGAGGGCGCGCCAGGACGTGCTTCGTCGAACGAAGCTGACTGCCACTTGTTACCACCAAAATCCACCAAAAAACTCTGCGACGACGCCTCTTTTTTTTCGTCTTCCTCCCGGACGTCCACTCACTCTCCGATCCGCCAGGCCACTTTCATGGCTTCTGAACCCCAAGCAGCCACCTGCCAGGACCACCATCGGTTCATGTTGGAAGGTCGATGAAAAGATTGTGTGTCTTCGTGGTGTCACTTGTTACTACTAGCGTGGCACTTGTTTCTACGTTCGCTTCTTGTTACTAGTAAGGCACTTGTTACTGGTAGCGATGCACTGGTTTGTACCGCGACGTTGGTGATGGTCCTCCACAATGTTGTTTGCCAACGTTGCTGGAAAACTCTTTTGTGGCTGTTCTCTCTAGGGTGTGGAGCTGCTGGTTGCAAGATTGTCTGAACATATCCCAAGAAATACCTTTTGCAAACAAAGATTAAACAAAGGAAACCCTTGATTACTCCTTCCGGCAGCCCAAACACTCGGACGTGTAAATTGAATATGGTTCGCAACAAAGAAAGTAAATAAGGACATTTGAAGAACTGCAATTGATTTCTTGCTCAGTTTGGCATGGAACGCCATGGACGTCTTTTGTGGGGCACGTGCAATTTTCCCCCCAAAAAAGATCATGCAGCCCCCCCGCGGTGACCATTGCCTCAGGTCATGAAACAAGACATCTTACAATCCATGATTTGAAATACCCGTGAAATACCAGGAAACATGCATTCTCACATGCACCCCCACGCAACACCTCTCTTCCCGCAAAACGGTTCAAAAAAAGAACAACCCTCCCAACAAAGACGGTGCTTCCCGTCCCAACGTCCGAAGAGGTAGAGGCTTCCCTTCTCCACTATTCACTACGGGCCGATGTGCTTCGGGGGCCTCGTCAGAGCAGGTGTAGGGTTTCCACGTGCCCCCCCAAGGCTTCACAGGGCGCCCGCTCACTGGGCGACGCGCGACGCTCCGCGCGCGGAGCGGTCGCAGTGGGTCCCGGGGGCGTCGGACCGAGCGGTGAAGTGGTTTGTGGTTTGGGGTCACTCTTTCAGCCGGTGAAGCTGCTTCCACTTGTTCCAGGTTGGATTGGAACTGGAAACATTTGGAGAGCTCTCCAAAATGCTAAGTGTTCAGTGATCTCCAAGCTTGGAGGATTCTCTAAACAGACCAGTCTAAGTTTGAAGAGTTCTCCAAACTTATCGGAAACACCGTTGAACAAAGATGTTTCGAAGCAAAAACATGAGCTTCATTGAGTTGAATGTTCAGGTTTAGCTTTGACTTTCGAGAATTCTCCACACGCAAGGTCTGAGTTTGGAGAATTCTCCAGACTGCACCTTGACCACTGTCGCCTTTCTGCGAAACTCGACGACACATCTGTCGACCTGATCATGGCGAGAGTTGTTTGGAGCGCCGAGTTTGGAGGCCAAGTCGTCGCAGTTGGTGTTCTTCCATGGCTGCGGAGTTGGCTGCTCAGAATCTCGTAGCCCTGGTTCGCAAACGAGCTCAGAATTGGAACGTTCTTGGTTTCTGGGTTTCGACCAAAATTCGAAACTTAGCACAAAACCGGCTCCATGTTTTCATCGACTCCACACGACTCCGCCGACTCCACACGGCAACCGCGTGGCTGGCAGTGGCAACCGCCGCCACTCTCGGTGCACTGGTGGGCAGTGCAAACATCCGTGGCGGGCGGGACCGACCTGGCGGGGGTGACCAAAGGACCCCAAAAAGGACCAAAGGCTGAGGCTTGGAGGCCATCATTAGCTAGAAGCTACGACCGGAGCAAAGGGCATCGCTACGAACGGAGCAAGGACACTACTAGAGGCTCCTGTACTACTAGGAGCAAGAACGCTACTAGTTAGCTAGAAGCTACTAGGTTGGAGGCCATCCCTACTAGGTTGGGGGCCATTGCTCTTAGGTTGGAGGCCATCGCTACTAGTAGTAGGTTGGGACCAAAGGCCAGCGAGGATTTGAAAAGGATGGTGCGAAGACCAGGAGTCACATGGCAGGGTGCCGAACTTGCAGGAAGTCGGGGTGCCCAGCTACTCCACTCACTTAGGGACTAAAAACCACCCCTTTGTGACTCCTGGGATATGTGTGTCGTAGATGGGAAGCGGGTGGCAATCCAGCGGTGTTGTTCGAGGTGCAACTTCATCGACCGATTGGCCATCGGTTAAGACACACTAGCCATGACCTCCAACCTAGTAGCTTCTTGTTCCTAGTTGCGTCCTTGTTACTAGTAGTAAGGCCAGGAGCCACTAGTAGCGCCCTTGCTACTAGTAGCGATGCCCTTTGCTCCTAGTAGCTTCTTGTTCCTAGTAAGGCCAGGAGCTACTAGTAGCTTCTTGCTACTAGTAGCGATGGCCTCCACCCTAGTAGCGATGTCCTCCAACCTAATAGAGAAACAGGTATGCCATTGACACCATTCTAGCTGACCTTGAAATGTGTCTGGGTCCAAAGCCACGACAAAAAGGAATTGGAAAAGATGCCTTCACTCTGGTCTCGTGAAGGATGCGTTTCTTACCCAGGAAGGGTTGGGATTCTTCCCCGGGTTCAAGCCACAAGCCTCCGCACCCCAAACGGGGTTGAATCGCGTGCTTGGCATGGATCAAGAAATGACCGGAAGACCCACCAAAGAGAGCCTGTACTTCTTTCTCTTTTCTCAAGAAAAGCAAGTCTTGGTGTCTTTCCCGTGGGTCACGAGCGCAATTCATGGATTTTCCTGGATTCCAACCTAAGAGCGATGGCCTTCTAGCAGCATCCTTGCTCCGTTCGTAGCGATGCCAGGAGCTACTAACAGCTTCTTGCTCCTAGTAGTAGTAGTAGTAGTAGTAGTAGTAGTAGTAAGGCCAGTTTCGCCCCGTTTGTAGCGTCCAATCGCTCCGTTCGAAATGCCCCACCTGAAGTCGCAGAATCCTCCTGGCAACTCCTTGTCCTTCAAGAAGTCCTGTTCGTCCTTGCAAGGCCTCGAGACACGCCACGACCGACGCGCGGTCGGTCGCTTCTGGGCATCGCGCGCGCGGTCGGTCGCTTCGGACGTCCAAAGTGCCGGTACAGTGCATTACCTATACTACGTATAACTAATTGGAAAGGATTCACTACTCGATCTACGTATTCTTTTGGGGGTCACCATGCCAATACTATGCCAATATACATTGTATATCATTGTATACAGGCTACAGTATAGTATACGCCATTCTTTTTCTACTTATCTTCTCTCATGCCGTTCCCATGCAGCACCTTTCAACAGGCCCTCAAACGGCTAACGGTTGAGTGTCATACCACCCGGCTGCCCTACCCCTTTCTCGGAGCGGCGTCATCTTCCTGGCGTCCTTGTCGCAGAGGGTCGCAGGATACGAAGCGCAGCAGTGCCTCGGCGGCCCACCGCGGTGGGCCGTGGCGAAGACCGGTGGTGGAAGGTGTTCGAACTCACCAATGCCTGGGCCCACCCACACTTGTTCAAAGAAAGGGTGTGCCTCAAAAATGTAGGACGTATAGTACGAAGAAAAAAGACACACATCAACTGCGGTGGTGTTTGCTTGCTGAAGAAGACCCCATATGCCTTGCATCAGAAGGGAGAATCCCGAAGGCCCAGAGGAGCAAGGACGCTACTAGGGGCTCCTGGCATCGCTACGAACGGAGCAAAGGATGCTACTACGTCGTTTCAGGGGTGCCCAACATGTACTTAGTATTAGATAGATCTTTCTTCAAGAACTCATCCACGAACCTCACCCTCCGCAACCGCTCTGAACACCACCTTGCTCTCGCTCTCGCCAAGCAGAAACACCTCCCGCCTGGCAAAGTGGTCTGTGGCATCCTTCACCGTGAGGCCGTTCAGGTCCCCATCGCAGCTGTCCGTGTCCCGGGCAATCTTCATGGCTTCGTGCCAACCTCGGACAGGACAGGACAGGACAGTCGCAAACATGGCTTGTGCGCTCCGGTGACATGTCACGCCAAGCGAAGACAAGGGAATGGATGTGTGTGGATGTGGATGTGTATAAATTGTATAAATCCTGAGAGGCACCTTTTGGTGAAACAATGGATACGGCCTTTTTTGCGGATCTGTTGGATGAAGGGCTGACACCAAAGAGAGGGAACTTCTGGCTGATTCCCTCCAATGCGACGGGGCATCGGCGGTGGGTGCCGCAGAAAGCCATCCGAATGCGAGGGTGGCACGACACGTGTGTCACTGATACCTCTGTTCAGCCTGTTCCACACCTGGATCCAACGAACCAAACCCTCAGAGAGAGAGAGAGAGAGAACACACGGCACACCACCGAACGGACCGGCTCCTGCGTTTCCACCGATGGGGCGATAAGACCATTCGGCCATGGATGTCCTTCACAGGATCTTTCGCAAAGAAAGGTTTTTGCCACAGACCCAAATGTAGGTGGCTTGTAATCATGGACGGGGCACCAAGCTGCCAAAATTCACGTGGATTCTCCACAGGTGGCCCAAATCCTACGAAGAAGAAACCTGAAGTGCACAACCCTCCTATTTGTAGAGGAAACACCTATTCCAAGGGCAAACAGTTGCATTTCAATGGTTGCTTTTCAGGGGTGTACATCCCATGTATACCTTTAGATAACAAGGACTTGGGCGACCAAAGGGCAGCTACTATAGTAGGTTGGAGGCCATCGCTACTAGGTTGGACGCCATCCCTGGTAGGTTGGAGGCTATCGCTTCTAGGTTGGAGGCCATCCCTAGTAGGTTGGTGGCCATCGCTAGTAGGTTGGAGGCCATCCCTGGTAGGTTGGAGGCCATCGCCAGTAGGTTGGAGGCCATCGCTAGTAGGTTGGTGGCCATCGCTTCTAGGTCGGAGGCAATTGCTCTTAGGTTGGAGGCCATCACTCTTAAGTTGGAGGCCCAACGGCAGGTCCATGCCAACCAAGTCACCAGGACTTTGCCATTTTACCTCATCTGCACAGCTGTTGCTCCTCCAAATAGCCCCAGCCGCCTCACCTGAGATCTCAGGCTGCATGGCAACCCAGGCCGGGTGGGGAATGGCGCTTTCCTTTACCACTCCAACCTGTCAAATGGAACTAAGTGTGATCTAAAGATAGAAAACCGCTACGAACGGAGCAAGGACGCTACGAACGGGGCCCCTGGCATCGCTACTAGGAGCAAAGGACGCTACGAACGGGGCTCCTGGCCGTAGTACTAGGAACAAGGGACGCAGACAGTCTTCTCACTGTAACTTCAACCAGGTTTATCCTTTTGGATCCATCGGCACTGTGGCAGATGCGGAATCCGAGGCTTTGCCAAGACACGGGCACCCACCGCTTCCACCGATCTACCTGTCAATTTATCGATATGTGCATCTGTCTGCCTGCTTTTTGCTTCTAAATCCATTCATCTGTCCATCTATCCACCAAGTGATCTGAATGCAGCGAAGTCTGTCAGATCTGTTACAGTTCCGTTCGTTCGAGAAATGGAAGCAAAAACACAATTCCTGCTGCATAAGAGCTGGGTTTCGGTTTCTAAACGGTGTTGCAGGGGTGCGTTTGATTGCCAGTGTTTTTTCGGGTACAAATGGTGACGTGGTAAGAGGAAACCAGGGATCACATGGTGAGTGTCTAGACATTCTCTCATTCTGAAGTATTGATCTAGCATGTGAACGGATCATGGACAACGGACATGCTGTAAAGCAACAACAATGCAAAAAAAAATACAAAAAAACACCCACAGCACGCACGTCATCATGGCACGAGTAATATGAGGCACGTCTTCACCAAAGAAAGGTCGCACCGGAACTTCCACCCCCGGCTCTGCCGAAGAATTATTTGTAAAGCATCTGATTGGCGACTGATGTTTGTGGAGGCTTCTCATTTCAGGTAACCCCATACGGACCACATAGCTTTGAACATGCTTGCTCTCGTACACAGAGAGTGACCCTTTCAGAAGCGCTTTCTTGAAAATATGGAGTCTGCCTGAGGGGCAAGTATCTTAAGAATCTATGCTCAAAGGAAGTTTAGCGTGCAAAACTTCCGTGTTACGGACATTCAACAGCTGTTCAACCACCACT